GAGGGGGGACAAAAATGCGCGAAGTACCTCCGGGACATAGCCGCGTAAATGAGGCGCGAAAGTGGGCATCCGTCTCTCAGCGTATAGTCCTGGCTTCGCCATATCCATAAGTTCCTGTATTACACGTGGCAGGTAGCATTAGTCCGCATTACCCATCCCCGCTGTCAGTTTATGTGTGCCTCTGTCTACTTTGTAAAATGTTTACCGAGTCTCTATCATGACGCGCTTCTCTCCAGTCAGGAAAATTGCTCTTGGCGGTGTGTATCAAATTAATTTACATTAAATTAGTATTTAGCGATCGTATCGTTGTATGCATGCACGCGCAGTTAATACGGCATTATGAAGGATTAGAGCGTATTAGCGACACACAAACTATAATATGATACACATGTATAATATATATAATGTGGAAAACCGTGCACATGTGGAGCTATATTGATTTAGTAATACTGCAGATGGTCAAACGCGATTTTAAATCAAGATGGATAGTGCACCACGCTCGGCTTCGAGGAAGACCTTGTATTATAGTTAACTCGCATTCATCTATCGTCACAGAGAGTAAGAGGTATTAATTTTCCTATAACGACCTCCAAAGAAGCGGAATTAATTTATAGATCTTACTCAAGCACGCCGATCGGCGTTTGATTTCACGTAGCTTGAAGAAGGCTCTTATAATTCCTTAAATCCCACGGATTTTTACATTTCAAGAGTTTAACCGCGTGGAATGCATAATGCAAAGTTATCTGTGATTGCCTTACATATCTAACAATTTTCAAGAATTCTTCAATCGGAGCTCTTAATCGTTCAGATTGTCAAATCATCCTACGATTCACGGAGTTGTAACTGAACCTATAACGTAAACTCACACGCGACTTTGCTTCGCACATGTTTGTGAACGGAAATGAAACATTTTTTCGCCTACCTAGGTATACGCAAGTAACGCTAACTACGACTCTGCGGGTCTTTGGGCAAAACATTTAGCTTGCTATTGAGACTAATGTGACTTGTGAAATTTCACGTGATTTCAGTCGAGGTGATGTTCCTTGTGTGGGGCATCCGGTTGTGCATCGTAGTAAGAAAGACTCCGTCGGAGTTTAATGAGAGTCGATTCATTTCAATGGCGATTTACAACGAATTTCTACTATCAGTCTTCCTCAACGTTTCAATGTAAGTTTGCGTTATGAGACCTTTTTCTCTCCATTCGTTATTCCGAATGACCGATTACAACTACTTGTCCGGGAAGTACTTGCAAAGCTTCATCGCCCTTGTAATTATTCGTAACACGAGATGGTTTGAAAACCGTTCCTTCCAAACGTTAATTAAAAGAAGTCTATCAAACGTCATATATTTGCACTTAGTCGCGAATTTATTTTAGCGTTGTAATGATAGCGTCTTTTTTCTACTTAAGTCTAATTAAATTCCTCGGAATTTTATGTTTCAAGAGTTTAACGGTAGAATGCATAATGTGAGTCAATTTAAAGCGACCCTTATTTTAAATGTAAATACTGTGTCGACGGTTTTACAACGTGCCCCATCTTAACTGCAATTTAATGACACATTTCTGACTTGACGAATTTATAATCAATTTTTTTCCCATCCGCCTTTTGATATTACAATTTACTCCAATTTTTAATGCCACAAGATTACATGTCGTGACGATAAATTTTAAAACCGAATTTTTACCTTTGTTACCCGGGCGCTTTTCCTTTGTTTAATTTTCCATCCAATTTTCTTATTAAGGAAAGTGGAATTTGCATTAAACGCATCTGTCATTAAAACTTGATGCAATCAAGAACGTGGAGCATCCTAATCTACGAATGCAATTTTCGAGTTGGAGAAACAAATAAAAATGACGGAAGATCTGGGACACTAACCACTACCGGCCCGTTCTTACGTCACGAGAGCGCTTCGTGCAGCTAACAGCTCTGAATAATTTCTTTTTCGTTGCTGCAGGTTGTTCCTGCAATCACCGGCCAATCCGGATTTATTGTACATCATATTTTTCTGCCATACCCAGCTTACCGTCACATTGCTGCTTTGCCTGATATTCGGCAGTAAAGTAAGAAGTATTATTTATTACAGCTTTACTATATGACAATTATTACCTATATATGTTTTACTGCGCCCATTACTTCAATATTGGTCGAATTTATGTCGAAAACCTCACTCCACAATTTTTACGATTTTTATTTACGATAAACTATAAAATATTATATAGTCACAAGTATTTATTAATCCGCGAAACAGTTTATTTGAAACTGTTAGATTTGTGTATATTCTACGAATATAAATTTGCAGAAATTCCATTTTCGGAATATTAAATATAAATTGAAGATAACTCTAAAGAGTTTATTTTCAAAACATTTTTGAATAAACTTTATTTAAAGTTAACAAAAAGTTATTAGTTTTAACAAAAAGTAAATAGGACCACATTTTTTAATGTAATTGATCTGTAAATAAGTTCACTTCTTGTTCAAAATTTAGTGAGAAAAGCAAAATATAAGTTGAGGTATCGTATAAAGCTAAAATTCAATTCAATCAGCACGAATGAGATTAAATCGCGCAATTTCCGCTTCGTTTTCTATTTGCTTCTCTCTTTCTCCCCCCCCCCTCTCTCTCTCTCTCTCTCTCTCTCTCTCTTTCTCTCTTTGCAAGATTACTGCAAAGTCCTCTTACTAGCTTGAATAGAAATCCCGGTGCCGTGTAAGTTTGGTTGTTACATACGTCGCATTTAACGAAGGCTTACGTGGTGTTCCGCGACGGAGGGAAGGAGGAGACGATTGGTAAACTTTGTGGCGCGACCGGCAAGTTCTTGGGGAAAAGCAGTCGTCCGCAGGGTACTAGTAACCAGACCAACTCGATATCGCTTCAGCAGGGTAATTTCGCCGAAGAAAGCGACTCTGTCACGGTAAGCACCCCGGTAAACCGTTGAATCCTCTGGTCTCTATGGAGCGTAGTATCCGAAGCTGTACACTCCCTCTTTACTAAATATAATCCGATCTAGATCTAGATTTGCAGCAGATTGTATTGCTCTAATGTTATCCTAATTTTCAAATTATAAAGCGCCAAAGTTTTAAACTTTTAAAATCCTAATCTTCCAAATTCTCTCTTTAAAGCTTGAAACTTTGAGATTTTGTAGCTTGTAATCTCAGGATATATAATACATAATACGAGTATATATATATATATACATTTCGGTCTTAAAACATTTAAATTTGAAAATATTAGGCTCTTCAAATTTTAGAAATCTTGGATCTTCAAAATTATGACATCTTAAAACCTACATTACCTGAAATTAAAAAAATTTTTACACTTTAACATTTTAGATTATAAATATAAGATAAGAATGTCAAGAGACAGCAACTTCTTTCCAGGAGGAATTCCGCCGTTTGCTCAATCAGTTAGAGGTCCTGAAGGAAAAGAACATATTATTAGGAAATCAGGAGCTGTCCAGAAAGCTGGCAGCCATGCTGGACGCTTCGAATCGAGTCGAAGCTCAAGTATCTACTATTCAAGCCATTTCGACTAGCATCGTTCAGTTGAATGATCTCAATAAATCGACGAAGGAAACTAATCTCGGACGAGCTTGTCAGGAACAGACTCAAACAGGTAAGAAATAAACTTTAAAATAACGTATACTGAATTTTTTTACGAAAAGTTGGTGCGGGATTGTGAAATATGTTATAACTGTTTTTCAACGTTAGCACACACAGTCGCAAATAAAATTTCATCAATAAAAGTTCTGTATGAACTGAAGAGAAACCTTTTATTTATATATTACATTTGAAGCTCGAAGCTAGCAGTCGGAAATAAAATCAGAGGAATTTATCCGTTTTAAAAATGACACAGATTTACGAATGATCGTAGCTCTGGAAACGGAGGATAAAATTAGAAAAAGTGGAAATTCTGACAAAAGCAGTATATATGGCCTGCATATTTCATTTACATTTAAAGTTGGAAATTAGGGGGCAAGAACTACGAAATTGTTTCTGATGCATTGAAAGATCAGAAAAACGAAAATGAACGACATTATAAAGTAATCTGCCCCGAGAGCTGCTCGGTTAAATTAATTTTATTGTGAAAACTGAAAGTCCAAACGAGAGTTTTATTTATTTATACTCTCTCCCTTTGTATCTGTTCAAGACGGGATCTATTAATTTTTCATTACATTCCGTGAAGCCCTGCGGGCAGATAATTCTACCTTTGTTTAGGAAACGGTTCTCAGGGCGAAAATCGATGTCGCGCATGTATTGAGAAAAATGGGCTTGGTGGAAAGGATGTGCGCGATATGTCGAGGGATAATGAAACGCCGGAGTCGAGGAAAATCGGAAAAGACGCAGCCGTGTCAACATCCTCGAAACACCCTATTGAGGACATCAGCAGGGAAATGTGTCACGGTAAAGATGGTAAGGAATCCGATTTGAAGGACAAATCCAGAAGTAAATCCGGTCATGCTAGGACACACGCTATAGTTATCAACCTCGATGACAAGAGCAGATTTTCCGAGGAAGTTACCGTTTAATGTTATCCTTAAGTGAAAAATAAACGGTTAATGTGAATGCAATTTTCCGACATTTCTGTAATTAACGATTGTATCGTGAATAGAACATTATTGATCGTTTTTATTGAAAATGAGGATTGTTAATCAGATTTTTGAAAAAATTGACATTCCTTACAATTAATTAGTATGGAATTCCATCAGATACAGTTATTGAAGAAAATTTTACTCACGTTATATTAATAATAATAATAATTAAATTTTACGAACAAAAAAAGATAAAGATTCTAATTCGTTCCAATTACAAATTTATACCATAATATAATTTAAATCGACACTTGAAAGAAGTTTTCCTGAATTAATAAGATTGATTAATCCCTCGATTGTTGAGCGTAATAATAATTCCAATGACAAATTGGAAATTTTTAATAATATCGAAGAATGTCTCAAAGATCGTTAGAATGATTTGCTGAAACGATGATTGATCTGAATGAAAGTTAATTAAGTGATCGTTTTAGTCATCGTGAATAATTGTTCGTATATATACGTTACTGAGAGAGCACATATCGATTTTTCATCTATTTCAGTGTATATGAAGTATCCGTGAAATAATAAAAAAAATTGAAACATTAAATTAATCACATCGTTTGGCATTTTCAAGCGAGACCGATCGCGTTCTAGTGCGTCATTAATGAACCGTTCATTAACCCTTAGGGAGTAATCCGCCCTTTCTAGCAGCAAATCGATCTCAGGCTACGGGCTTTCCAAGATCAAAATGTGCTTCATCAGCGTGTTCGCGGATCACAAGATAGCCTGCACCTGTAATTATGTATTAATGTAAAAGCAAGTTAAAGGATAAGGCTCATTAACCCTTTCCAGCTCTCCAATGCCGCATGGTATTATTAAAATTATATCGTTTTAATTAGGTTCCTAAGAACGTATTAAGTATGTATGTGCATAATTGTGAAATATAATATATTATGTTATGTAATTATAATAATTATGCAGTGTAAAATAATATTAAATGCATTAAACTATGTTCCATGATGTTACATTATATTTGTTACCGATATTCTATTGGATTATATTACACAATCAAAGATTATAATTCAAAAATAAATTAATGTAAACATAAATTTATCTAGCGAAACAAATCTCCGATGTAAAAATAATATATAGGCTTGAAAGGGTTAAAGGAAACAATTTTTATGATATTTTTTTGCTAACAATTTTATATAATATGTGCAGATATCGGTAATGATTCGCTCAATAAATTTGCAAAATTTCTAATTGTTATATATACTTGAAACTCTCAATCTGTGAAAATGCTTGAACTATCTAATTCGTGTGATTAATATTCCTAAACGCTCAAATTGACCGAATGAATCGTGCTTCTTAAATCATTGAGAAACACTATTTTTACTTCTTGGAATATTTTAATTTATCAATCATTTTTTTATTGCAAATCATCTCATTTACTACTTATCTTCTACAAAACAAAATTTTGTATTAAATATCTTCTAAGTATCAAATTTTATGTTACTTGTTCGATAACAATTCAAATAAACAATGATACATAAGGAATAATTCATGTGCATACTATACATTGCTCGCTGTGACATGAATGTTACTTTAATAATTACCATCGTTAACCGTGTAGCTTATTGTACGTATACAGTGTAAGTCAACGCGTTATATTGTAAATAATGAAATAATCGATTAATTAATAAAGACGAGCTGAATGAAATTGAAGTCTGAAGAAAAATATTGCATTTTGCTAAATAACGATTTTATATGTTTTGAATGTAACCAATCAATCGTTAAAAGGTAAGTAAAGTTATTCTACACAATTGTTAAGATTATATAATTATTAACATTTTCTTCAAAAAGTTTATTTTTAGAAAATAATATAATTAAAACAAGTATTTATTTCTATAGAAACTGAATCTCTCTCTCTCTCTCTCTCTCTTTCTTTCTCTCTTTTCATTATCTCAACGATATTTGGGAAAATAGTTTTTTAATCCACTCAAAGCTACTCCGAAATCCAGCTTATTAACAATAAGCTAACAACTCGTTATGAGAAACTCTCGGAAATCTCAGGATTAGAGTTTAAGTTAATTCTCTACAGCTCGTTTTTTTGACAAAAAAACATTCGCGATTAAATGTGTCCTCGATTCGTTAGTTAAATTAAGCATCGGTTATAGAAAGAGTTGGATAGTAAAGATTTTCCGTCTCTCAATCAGACAATTTTGCGCAAAAGACATGAACTTAAGGGATCCGAGACAGATCTGCCTGTCTTTCACTTAATGAAATTTGCAGCGAAGGTTTCTTCGAATAGATCGAATTGCGAGTAGCAGCGCCTTCGCACTTCATACATACTAATACGGCATGTATTCGAGGTGGTTGACAATCAGATCCTCAACCGCTATTCTCTCCTTTGTCCTGTAATTCCGCGAATTAAGTACCTCCAATATAAAGGATTCTTGTACCTCAACAGCTTGATCGTTTCCGCCAGCGCGGAAGACGGAAGAGGAAGTAACGAGTAAAAACTTTGTGAGAAGATACGGAGAAGGAGAAAGAAAGTGTTTCCTTCGTTACTTCCGGCAGAGTTTCATTGACTCCTGCCCACCCCACGTCGCCGTCGTACTGTGTTTTACGAATTGCGTCCGTACAATGAATGTACCAATCCTGTCCCAATTGCGCCCGATAAAAAAGAAGCCGTAGATACGTGCTCTGTACGATACGTCGCGTTGGGATCACGACAGAGACTACAACGACGAAAACTCACCGTAGTTCCGTATTGATTTTCAGGTAAGAATACGCGGCTATCGCTCGCTCGTTGAATTATCGAGTACCCGGTGCGGAAGAAGGGCCTCTCGAGGCTCGCTTCTGCGAGCTTTCTCTCGAATTGATTCGACCGGTCGGAATTAGCCATTTGATTAGCCCTTTGCTGCGCGCGAAACGGAAGCATAGACGAATGTACTGCCTACAACGGTACAGGAAGATGGATTGGAGTATTTGATTTGAGAATGTCGTTCGGATAGGAGGGCTTATAGCTCACAGCGGAGTAAAGTTTCGGTGAGTTCTCAAGTCGAGACCCGAATACTAAACTTGGTCCTTTAATTGATTTTGATTTTAACTTAATTAACGTAAAAATCTGACATATGTTGTTATATAATCAAAATTTGTTTAGAGTTGATTTTACTGATTGTCTGTTAGAAAGCCTTGCTTTTTTCTTTCTTTTTTATTAAATATTTATTTCTTTGTCTTCGGCGATAACTGACTTTATTATTTTAATTGAATTATATTCATACTCAGCAGAAAGTTACATACAATTTATGAATATTCACTTTGTACTGGTATATTTCTTTTTCAACACTGAATAATTTAATATGATTCTATACATTTAATGTACGTTTCGTATTTACGCTCACCCGCTGAAAGCATTGTTTCACGTATCTTTCATGAAGCAGGATGGACTTTGAAAACAATATCAAAAAAATGTTACGTCACAATGTTTCATAACAATATTGTGTAATTCAGCCAAATAATTTCAGAAATCATACGTTGATAAGTTCCTTTCCTTGAAATTAAATGATTCAGTCTTTTAAAATTAAATTCACATAAAGAGACACACAATGTAAGGTAATTATTTGTAATACGACTTAATTCCATTGACACTTGATAATAAAAAATAGCGTATAAATTGGAACAACAGATTACGTGTGATTTACAAACATAAATTTCATGATCACGTCATGTACCTCTGCCACGGTACCTAATCAGGAGAGCCTATCGCATTGGTCCAGCGGTCTTAAGTTATGCTTATGCTCTGTTACGCATTTCCTGATGTGAGATAGGTTTAAGCATCTATCAAATACGAAAGAAGCAAAAATATTGTTTCCAGCACTATACACGCCAGTAAGGTACACATTTTTCAAATCGTACATTTGCGATAATATCACTCGTAATATTAAGCCATTCGTGGTTTCGGTAACGATACTATCACTTTCTATTTCGGCCAGTGATAGAAAACTGTTGACTGCATATATTCATGATCGCCAGCTTAAGCAGAAAAAACGAACACAGATTGACGCAGCCTAACGCAACTCATTGCTATTATCGAACGATCATTCACAAAATGGATTGACAAATGTTTACCAAAAATGAATCACTCTCACGATTTCATTTATTCTTAATCAGAAGTTTAACAATTGTATGACATTTTTTCATAATACCAGTTTCATGTTTCATCATTGCAATCGTTTCTAAATAAAATATCGTTGTTAATTTTAGCCCCATAAAAAAAAGTCGCGACATTTTCATGAACTGTGTATACGACACATATAGAAGTACTACTTGTAATTGCTCATGTTTTTAATTGCTCCCTTCTTTAAATACGATGCATAGCTTTATTTTCAAGAAAATTATGTAGCCTTTAATTCCCGAAAGAGTACTATTAAATCAAGCGATGACGTAAATGCAAGAATTATTTACATTAAAGTTATTAAAGAAAATAAACAGTAACAGTTCAAATGTTTCATATTTTAAACGCTTTATCAACGTTACACGTCAATCCCTATAGGCGCGAAATGATCCTAGAATGTCACATAAACATTGTCAAAAGTTGAAACAAGTTATTTTTTGTAACGATAATATTTTATACTTTTTAAATGTGGGAAACCATTCTATGAATGTTATACGTCCATTTATGTAATATCTTTCGTATCTTTTCCATAATATCGCCAAATATTACTATTACACACATTGTGGTAGTCATTTTTAAATTACTGCAATGTGTATTCATAACCCAGTAACAAAAATGTCCTAGCAGTCAATATTGCTAAAATAGCTTTTAACATCCGTATAATATCAAAGTAAAATCATAGAAACTCTAAATAATTTTTAATATTATCCGGATTAGACGTATAAATCACCCATTAATAGTGCAAGAACATGTATTGTTTAATATTATAAAATCATCACTCAAGTAAGTTTTCCTAACAGGATAAAACTGAATCCTAAAATATGCCTAATATATCCTAAATTCGCAATTCGTTTTGAAAT